GGGATACCAACTAACACACACATAAACAGCATCCTAATATCCTAGATGGGAGTGCAAACGTAAAGGACGAGAGGAATGTGCCTTTCGCGATTCATGATAAAAAAATAGAAGAGGTGCACTTCACACGAGCTGTTATGACTTAAACAAGACACAGGGCTCCAAATAAAGAGACACAATGTGGATGGGGATGAAGAAGAGGATAATTGAGTCATGAGTTTGAAGTGTAAGGAGAGGATTCACAGGCATGGACATTATAGCGGGCTTAAATCCTCGAATATGTCGTAATCCGGGACGGGAATTGAAGGCTTTTAGTAAGCCAGATTTCAGACAGTGATTTTGATGTTTAGCAGCTACCAATTGACACGTGAAGTAGGATAATGGGTGCAAAATGTAGGCCAGGAGGCCTGCATATGGTGATGGAGATGACTACGCTTCTCTACGCAAATTTCTAACGACACTCCTTTAGGCGACATTTGAGGAAACGAGTGCACAGTATTGTGTGAGTAGGTAGATGGGCCATATGAAGTGGGGTTGTGAGAAATAGATGCGGCACTGGGTAGAAAAAAAATATGGATGAGGAGTGATGCTACAGAGGTTGAACAAAAAATCGATCAAGTGGATTGTCTTCACTAGTCACTTTCATAAGTTATAACCCTCTGCTAACGATTTGGCCACTCATTGAGAATGCCAACTATGATGCCGGCGAAACATTTTTGAACGTGCCAAGTTAATGGTCCGAAGCTGGAAATCACGAATACTTTGACGGAAGGCACAGGACTAGGTACGTTCCACAAGGTCTCTGTGACGTTTCGAACAAGTTGTGAAAGCAAGGTCGAGCCAGCACTACAAGGCTAACGGAGATGGCGGCCAAACGGAAGGCAACACCATCTTTGTCTTCATCTGTACCATAAATTTGAGTCCGTTTGTTCAAATTCTTGTTCCTAAACTCAATGTATTTTAGTATTATACCTTTTATTCTCTAATTACCAATTATTCTTTTATTTACCCCATTTTTTGATGAGAATTGAAATTGAGTATAATTCAAATATGTGACTTCTTTCTGAATAGTCTCCTCTTAAGTGTCCAGTTTGAGCGAATGGCTTCAGCATTTATATAAGGTAGTCACCCATCCTCCACCTCCATCGTGAATTTAATTATTTATCAAATTTGAGACATTTGTCTAAACTTTCCTTACCATGCGAATAAAGTGCGAAATATTCATCCAGATATCGCATAAAAACTTTTGCTTGCAATGGTAACTTCTTTAATTCATATTAAAATTTGTCCATGTATACTTTTGCCAAAAGTGTGAAAAGTTAATATTCCACAGTTTTTCCTAATATTTGCTCATAGATATTGGTTTTTCATTTAAAATCGCTTGTCCTTACTATCAGGCTGATCAGATGTGTTGGCGATTCTTATATTCGCTCTGCTTCTATGGTATACTCCTCTTGCCTTAAAAGGTCTCCAGCAATTTGATGCCTGTCTTCCTGCATGAGATTTCTGTATCCATGTATTGTACGTCAAAACATACCAACAGTTCCATCCCTTTCACTCAGATATTTGGGATTCTTTAATAAAATTAATATGATTTCGTCATAGTAATCTAGGGTCTGTCGTTTATATTCATTGGCTTCAAGTATATCAATTCCGCTAGCTTGTCTGTCATTCCATTCTTGTTGTTTTCTATTAGCCCGAGTGGTTTCCCTTCTTTGTGTATCTTCGGGAGTCCTTAGGCTGTCGGTGGTCTTGCATCACTTTTCATTTAAGAATTCATCATCCACCTGTCGATTTTTCCGTTGTTCCGTATTTTTAGTGTTTCCTTCAGTATTCCGTTGATCTTCATGGTTAGATCCCTTCTTGCTATTTGCTAAGTATTTAAGTCCCCCAGCATACTTCCCATCTTCTTCGTTTATTGTTTCCTGTCCATTACCATTACCTTTATCCGTTAGAATAACTATTCATTAATTACTTTGTATCTTTTTTATTAGAATGTAGACTACATATTAGGTTACCAATACGATGAATAACTGGGTTTCGATGAATCTTAATTTGTCTTAGTGTTAACTTGAGAATTTTACAGGAATGAGTCCCAGCTCTGATGTCCATCATATGATGGACGAAAGCTTAGCCCGTTTTCACCTGAAAAGAGGGAGGTCTCGTGGACTGCATCAATCTAAATGTCGTATAAAAACCAAATAGCGGCAGTACAATGAGATTCAACCGTCCTCTTCTGGTGAGATCAACCTTCAAATCTCTTCTTCATACACTTTCATACGAAATGAAAGTCCCAACAATAGAGTATTTGGCAGATTAGGGGTACTTAAACCTTATTTCTTTTAATTGGTCATTGTGCTCTAACCGGTTGCATCTCGTTTCAACATTTAAAAACATAATAAAAATTTTTCTCTTTTTCTTGAGGTTCCTTGAATTGCTTTTCTTTCATTGACTCATCATATGTATACTTATACTCGCATCAATGATTACTCAGCTTGTTTTATCTGATTAAAAAGTTTCTTTAATAGCATAATTAGTCGAAATAGCCGAGTATTAGCAATTCAATTCTTGACAACTTTTCCTCTTTTTGCTAGCCTATCGACCACTAATGGACATCACGCTTTAGCCTCGTCTTCTTGTCACGCGACTACGTCTAGTAATAATTCATTTGTGCCAGACACAATCGTTGGGTCCTCGGGCTGCCAACCAATCGACGAACTTTATGATGATGATGCAGAAGAGGACTTAGGATCTATGCAATCGCATGGCTCTGTGATATCTTATTTGCTATCACAGCTGCGTATAGGCATGGATCTTACCCGGATTACCTTGCCTACCTTTATTCTGGAACGGCGTTCCGCTCTTGAAATGTATGCTGACTTTTTGACGCATGCCGACCTTTGGACTAGCATTCCTGATGGGATATCTCCCCGCGACCGCATGATTGCCTGCCTTCGTTGGTACTTGTCAGCCTTCCACGCCGGCCGTCGGTCGGAAGTTGCTAAGAAGCCATATAACCCTATCCTAGGTGAGATCTTCCACTGCTACTGGACTCTCGATGACACTCTCCTTGATGGGCAGACACCTCAAACTTCAGAAACAAATGCCGCAAACTCTAGTCCTGCATCTAATATCTCCTGCTCTAAGACTTCCACGGGGCCAAAATCGGTCACAGATCCTTCTACGAATAGCCAAATGAAGCAAGACTATTCTGAACTGATGAAATCGGGTCCCTCACCAATGGCTCCCTTGAACTCAGTAGTTTTCATAGCAGAACAGGTGAGTTTTAGACTTAAACGGTTTATGAGACGAATCTTAGCTAATGATGTTGAGATAAGGAATCAAGAGATACTATTACAACTTTTGTCGTCACTACTACTATTGCTACTACGGTGGGATTTATATGCTTTTATATCCATAATTCATCAATAAGTTCGACCAGAAATTCAACTAAGAGCATTCGGTGATAGCAAGACTACGACAAACATTGAAGCCAATTTTTTTTCCAATTATAGCTTCGATTGTCTATATTAATCTCGATAGTAGATTATACCACATTCCCATATAAAACTTAATGCATGGCCCTTGATTCGATTAATTAGAAGATGCCATGAAGTGCCATGGTAGATTTAATGTATTCGATTAACCCGGATATTTTGGGATAATGGCTGGGGTGTTATCTTGACTATGAAACAAGACAGTAGAGCCGATGCTACCTTACACTAAGGAATAATACACTATATAAAAATTACTTGAAATATAAATAGATTGACCCGATTCTGTCCTTGGATTTCTATTGACTCAAATATCGATCGTAAAGTTAGAAATAAAAGAACTGTATTAAATTTAGTAGAAGCCTTTAGACACATTGTATTCCTACCTATTGCATTATTTTTCCAAAAAATCTCTTGAATTCTTCATACACCAACGCTCTTGTGACATCTTATTTAGTAAAGTATTAAAATCTTCAGACAAATTCTTAACTACTGGTGGGCATACATTATGCTAATATTTAAATGTCTATATACATCGATTTTTTTCTCACTAGAACACTGCTATCTATACTCATGACAAATTTGATTCTTTACTCTTCTGAAGAAGACTTGGAATCTCACACCAAAATCTGTTGGAATGCTGAAGAAAGAGAACAATACCAAAATTAATCGTTTAAATTAGGCCTGTGGTCTACGATAATAGGAGATATTAGGTTTCTCCTCGTTTACCACATTCATTCCATTCACAAAGTTTCATCTGCACACACATTGACTATGACATGTTGATTTCTCTGAAATTAGTCCGGATAAAATCCCTTTCCTGATCTCTGCCTTATGTTGGGAGCTCTTACCCCTGACCTCTTCTTTAATCTACTCACCTGAATTAACTTGCCTAGACTAATTTCAGTAATATATGAATATTCCGGAGTCTTCCTACCTTGGCTAATATTGGTTTGGTTAATATTACATTTGTATCTGATTTGCTTTCAATCGATGAATATGCACTTCTCTATTCTCAATATGATCTAAAAAGAATTGCTATCATACCTCTTATAAAGTATATTATTTATCTTACTGAAGAGTTAATCTGAATTTAAAACAGTCAAGTGGCGCAGAAAATAAACTTTAACCACATTGGTGAGGTTTAGTCAATCGTTCGAATCCATTCCTAAATAAGCACGCTCTTTAAACGTTCACAGTGCAATGAAATTTACTGACAAGAGTTGACCCAATCATTATGTAGTGCCAGCCCCTTAAACAGAATTTTAAAAAAACAGTGTATCTTGTTAAAGATAAGAGTCTAGCGACTTCGATCAACCAAATTATAACAGCACAAAATGATTTTTTGATAACATTATTTTTGGACACATTATTTTTAATCGCAGGTGTGAAGACGAAGATGGTGTGGCCTTTTGTGGGGTCGCAGTGTCCTTTCGTTGTAAAAAAGTCGTTTGACCTTGTTTTCGCAACTCGGACATATTTGGTAGGAAGACTTAGAGGAACAAACCTAGTTCAGAGTCCATTATATGCATAATCATTTCCAGAAAAGGACCGTGTACGTGGTACTTTCCCAGACGTTTCGCCGGCATCGTAGTCGGCATTGTCAGTAAGTCTA